CACCGAGAGGGTCGACAGGACGGCGGCAGCGACAAGCTGCAGCGTCGAGAGGCTAGGGCAAGCCAAGCCGGCGGAGCAACAAAGCACGGAAAACAGGAGAGTCCAAGGTGAGCGACATATCCATGGCTCGGCGACCTCACGGCAGCGAAATCTTTAGCTGAGGCACAGGGATGTGCAGTCAAGGGAAGCGACTTGCAGTGGAAACCGGCTCGGTAGAGTCCGCGAGGAGATCGCGCAGGAAGTGAGGCTGCAAAGGACTGGGGAGCGGCGAAGGGGAGCAGCGTGCGCAGCAGCTCGCTCGAGCGGGCCTCCACGCGAGCGCAAAACGCCGGAGCGCGGGCAAGCTGCAAGGTGGTCACCGCAGGCATCATGTAGCTGGTGGCAGCAGCATCTGGCTGTGGTGAGCGGGAGTGGGCAGGCGGAGCCGCCGCAGCATTAAATTAGCGTTCGGAGCAAATTGGCCGATGCCGTGAAGACTCTGGCTGCATAGGGTCCCCGCCTGTATTCATTGCCTCATGAATCATGCAGGGCTGCTGCTGGGCCCACCCAGCTCACGAAGCAACGCCCGGTGGCAGAAGCTGTCAGCAGCATAGGTTGCGGCACGCTGCCAGCTGCGGGTGGAGTCGAGGTGCAGATCGCTTTCTGGGGCTAGCGGTGCGGCCTGCCCAGCCAACAGGCCTTTGGAGGAGCGTGAGTGAGGCCGGCAACCCGACATCGTTGTGGAAGCTGTGCGACTGTGCGCAGGGCCCTTGACAAAGGAGCTGTCCCGTTGCCGTAGAACAGGAATGGTACCGCCCACGATGCCCAAAACGCAGCGGGCGCATGCCGGCAGCGCTTTGCACACCGAGACCCCCATGCCGAATATGCCGAAGGACCTGCTGCGCACATGTAGCTACTGGCCCGGGCAAGCCCCTCCGCATCGTCATCAAACAGGATTGTGTCGAGGCACTGCTCTGGTGGCATCATGGCGGGTTGCATACTCGAGTGTGTTGGTGTTGGGGGGTGTGCGGAGTGCATACCGTGCCCGAGGGCTGGCGCAGCAGTACAACAATAACCAAGCCGACTTGCAGACCTGAACCTCCGGGCACAAAGACATGATGAGCGCCGCATCGAAGTGATCGTCAATGGCCTGCCGTTGTGCGGAGGCTCGCAACCTGCCGTTGACGCTACAGTGGTCTCGCCGCTTACTTCTGCCGGTGTGCCCCGGCGCCGGAGAAGCAGCACCGCTGGAGCAGCGTTGGCTGAAGCACGCCGAGCCAAAGAGCGTACCTACCCTGAGTTCGCGGACGCCCGTCGGTGCCGCCTGGTTGTCCTCGGTCTTGAAGTCGGTGGTCGCTGGAGTGCCGAAGCTGCCGCTGCAGCTGCAGTCCATCGGGCGCGAGACAAACCCCATTCCAGACGGCAGCCCTGTAAGCTGATTGCGCTGGCGTCCGCCAGCAAGGTCCAGCAACGTCTGGTGCGTTCGGCAAGGGCAGCATGGACCCGACGCCCAGCACAGAGCTGGCGACAGCTCCCGGCAGGGCGACGGCCACCGGCGGTGCGCCTGGCCCTGGGAGGCGGGCGCGCTGTACGCGGAGCCGGGGCAAGGTAGGAATTGCTGGCACTTGTCGTCAACGGCCCCTGATCTCAGCGGCGAGGACCACAAGCCGTTGCGGTCTTCTGCAGGTGAGTTCCGGGCGGTCTAGGGCTAAGTTTGTCGCCGTTGTCCTTGCGACGGCCAAGACCGGGCTGCGTGCCGTATGTGCCCAAGCTGCATCCACGGCGAGCTGTGCCCGGTACCGAACGGGAGGACTTAGAGGACCGCGATGCACCGATCGGGACGTCGATGTTCATGCCGACGATGTTGCACCCGACGCTCTTAACTGTGCGCGAATCACAGTCCGGATGCCACACCGGAGATGGAGCAGGCAAGTCACTCGCCACCATGCATCGAGTTACAAATGCGATTGACAGGAGCACATGTTGCTAGAAATCGCAGCATAAAACACAAGTCAGATAGGTCTTGCCCGTGTTGCACTCCAACTCCTTGCTGACATCGCCAGTCGCTACACGTAGCACGATGTGTGTCAGCAGGCAGTTCCGCAACAAAAAAAGCATTGGAGAGAAGCTCCTGAACGCTAGAAACAAGGTTGCTGCGCAAGGCCAAGCAAGGTATCGGCAGGTCCTGCCAGCATGGGCATGTCTGCAGCAACGGCCGAGATGTGCCGATAGCAGCCGATTAAAAACAAAAAAGAATCGGTGCTGCAGCGGCTGGCAGCTCCAAGAGCCGAACCAACCACGCCGAGCCAAGAGCTGACTGGTTTCGAGGGTTTCGATACTCTTTGAGCGAGGGAACGAAAGCCGAGCGGGCAAAGGCAACAAACCCAGGCGACCCCTTCTCAGCTTGCACCAAGGCGTGACGCATGGTTAAACCAGGATACCACAATGTTGAGGGACGGCGAGCCGAACACCATCCCCAAGCAGCGGCTGCACGGGCGAAGCTCGCGCCTGTTGGTACGGAGGTGCTCGGAACCTGCGGAAAACCGCACGTATACATCACCATACTTAGTACGGCGTGAAAATACCTCTTGGTGCCGCCTCCATCATCGATGCCTCGGTATTCCTCTTGGCTTGAAGCTCGACAGCAAACATTGCAGTTCCAATAAGCAGGCAACTATCGGCAAGTAGTTGTTGGCCAGCAGGCCAAGAGGAAGAAGAATGCGGAGAAAATGGCTGTGTTTGCAGCTGGATGGTGCAGCTCTTGGCTTGGTCTGGTGTGATTACGGTTGGCACAGAGTGCTCTGAAGGACGTCGTGCAGACGGTGGTTGGTCGGCCGGAATCCACAGCAAATACAACCCAGCAAGGTCCTGGGAGCTACCCCCACCTCCCCCGAGCCCCACAGAATCTTCGACGCACTTCGGGGTCGCTGCCTCCTTGGGACTCTGCAGGCTCAGAGCCGGTGGCCCTGGCCGCCGCTGTCGCGATGGCGGCCACCTGCAGACGCAACAAAGGGACGCAGAGGACGCCCGTGGGGAGCAAATTGCCGGCCTTCTCCTCCGAGAGGGGATCCATGGGAGCCTCGCGGCGCAAGGCTCCGAGCAGGTCGTTCAGCATGCCCTGCCAGGATCAAAGTCTCAAGCCCCTTCTCTCGCAAAGCTCACCCGTGCCTCCAACACATCATCACCGCTGGTGACTGCTGCTTCTCGTGGCGGCGGATCCTGCAATGCTCGCTGCTGCTACGCTGCTATGCTTCTGTTCTAGCTCTGTTCTAGAAGTCTGAAGGCATGGACTTGCTGTGGACTTCAGGGGTCTCGGGAGGTGCATGCAGGCGTCCTGGGTCTGCTTTGCCTCGTTTTCCTTCGCCAACTCGTACAGCCTCCAAGCACATTGATTCATGATGTGGGTGCTGGAGTTTGATGGTATCTTCCTGCTCTGCCACAGCCATGTCACAAAACTTCATGAAGCATTTTCGTGAAAGGAAGCCTCTGCTTGAAGACTTCCTGCGCCACTGGCTCCATCGCCATCCCTCTTCCAATGGTCTTTGGGAAAACTGCTGACTCCTTCCTGAATAGAAGCATGTTGGCATCAAGCCTCTGAGTCCCACATTTCAGCCTGCAATGATGATGCTCCCTTGGCCTCCTAGTTCTGCGAGCCAAATCAAATCAGGGACAAGCCTCCACATCACGGCAGCATCGCGAGTCGGGGTGTGTCGAGATGTACTATTGTCCAGCGCACTGCACCCCACTAGTAACCCAGTATACATTGCAGCCGCTGCGCCCCATACCCCAAAGCCGAGTCCCCATGCCTGAGCTCCGCTGGACATCTCCGCTCCAATCTTGCTGCAGGTTTTCACGCTTAAGAGTGCGATGTCTCGGTCTGCGCCTCACCGGAATGAGGCCGGAAGTGGCAGAGTGCGGACAGCTTGTCTCCGAAGCAAGGCCACCATAGTCCGCGCATGCAGAGAGAGTGATCAGAAGCTCTCCTCATTTGCGGACTCAGATGGCTTCGGAGCATGCCACCTGCAAACTCAGAGTGGCAGACATACAAGGATGCGGGATTTTGCAACCCACAAATGGCTACCCGAGTTCGGGGTAGCTAGTGGGATTTTCCTTGCAAGGCAGGAGTCTCCAACTCTTGCAAAAACGAATTCATGGTACACGCAGGGGCCCTGCTGTGGCCGGTTGCTTCGCATCATCAATGAACCCCAAGCCCCAAGCGACCTAGACAAACAGCAGAGCTCCCTGCAAGGGCAGGATAAAGTCCGGCGTCTTGCAGAGGTGTCCATTTGGAGCTCTGAGATCCAGCAGTGGAGACAGAAAGAAGCCGACCGTCATGATGATTCTTCAACCACCTCTCTTAGGCCTTAGGCCCCACTGCTAAACGATGAAAAGCAAGGTTCGTCGCCATGTGAAAGCATCCTGCGCTCCGATGCGAAGCTCAAAGGAGCCCGGCCTCCAAGAGCGAAACGGGATCCAAAACGCGAGGACGGTGTCAAAAATCCCACTACCGGAGGAAGACTGACCGAACGCAAAACGAGACCCCCCTCCCCCACGCCTCGGACGCGCCTGGGCACCTCGGCCGAAGCGGTCCTTTGGCCTCAACACCTTTGCCTGGCTTCCGACTTTTTGTTTCGTTGAATCTTCCCCGTCGCTCTGCGGCATACCGCCAAGCTCAGACCCTCACGGTGCTTAGCAGAAGGCTACAGGATGATGCGAGGTGACCCCCAAAAATATCAGGCAGAAGCGCACAAGACTGCACGAGCCCGTTTGAAATCCAAAACCATACCCTGCTTGCAGAAGACACGCCGCCACGTAACCCGCAGTGCAACACCTGAACCGGCGAAACTCCCTTAACCGTTCGAAACCCTCATGGTCACAGCCCAACGTCTTCCGACCGGGCCGCAAGGGCTTCCGGGCCAAAGTGGCTCGGAAGCCCTTGGAGAGCTCGTTTAGGCCTCCGTTGAAGGCGGCGCGGGGCTTGCCTGCACAAAAAGAAAGATCCCTGAATGATCCAGGCCGGGGCTAGCGGTCTACGCGATGTGTTTCAGTACTTCTCGATCGAGAAAACTGCTAAGACTCGGTGAGTCTATGTCTGTGTGCGAGTGTTTTTGGACTATTCCGGCCAAGTTGTGCCAAGTGCGAAACTCACTGTGCGAAATGCTCCAACCATATCTTGAAGCCTGAATAAGATTAGCAACACCACATTAATTAGCAACATTGGGAATACTATTATTACAGATGGCTTTCGTTCTTTTGCTACATTCCTACCAGCGGCTGTGCAGCAACACGTGCCCGTATCGGGTAGCGACCGTCGCATTCGTCACGGAATTGCTGATTTGGGTTGCGGTAACAAACGCAGTTGCACTATTCAGTCTGGCTACTTTCCTAGCTGAACCATTGGTAGTTTCAAAGCCCGCATGCCGGTGGTCCGCCGAGTCGTAGTGCTCGTGTTGGTACCATCACTATCTATCTATCTGTCTATCTATCTATCGATCTGTCTGTCTCTCTATCTATCTATCTATCTATCTAACTATCTAATCTATTTATCCATACATACATATATGAGCCCGACGCTTTTAGGGTCTTTTTGACTACTGTTTCATATTTACAGTTCAAACCATTAGCTAGCTAGTAATTCGCGAGTAGTAGAATGCGCAAACCGAGATCCAGAAGTTTCGGAGTTCTGTGACAAGTCTGGTGCAACTGACAGGCTATGGAATATCTACATTTGGGGAGATTCTCGACATGCTTTGCTGTGGGGAACGCCAGTCGACAGTTGCTTGCCATGGTTCCGTGCCGCCAATTTCCGGGTGGCTCCGAGACGGCTCTGTGATGCGTTTCGGATGGCTCCGACGCTTGACGGGTGGCTTCAAAACAAGTTCATCACGGACCGGTCCGTGCAGCAGCTACATCAACAGCAGCAAAAACAATAACAGAAACAACCGCAACCGCTACCAAAGCTACGGCAGCAGCAACAATAAGAAAACCACATCAACAACAACACCCACAACCAGTACAACTAGTACTAATCATCCATCCTCACAGCATTGGTCCCAATAGCAACTGTACTCATTACTCATATTCGTAATAAGTCATGGACATGTCAAACATAAGTAAGCCACATGAACAACATTAATCAACCATGAACGAAGACTGACCATCAAGACCATAGCAGACAGGACAGTAGTAGGAATGCTGATCACAATGTAGCACTCATCATCGGTGGAACAATCCGAGTCAGCATCACTATCGAGTGATGAACACTCCGACTCATCGTCGTAATGTGGATTTGCCTTCCTCCGAGTAACAGGTGCACGTGGATTCCAGGCACAGCATAATCGTATGGGAAGTGCTGCAGGCTGTGGCTTAGCCTTTCTGTAACACTTTCCCTTGGGCTTCGCCTCTGCCTTTGTCTCAAATTTAGCTGTCGCTTGGGCTTTGGCCTTGGCGCTGGTATTGTCTTCGGCTGGAGTTGCACCAACCACATGACTGAATGCGCAGCTGTTCCTACTGCATGTGCCGTTGTTCTTGGACGCATAGCGCATATCTTGGTGGATGTGCATGCTGATGCACTTCCAGATCGCGGTCCTGCTGGTGAATGGAGTTTTGTCTCCATTGTGACATTCACCCATTGGAGAGAAAAAAGAATTTGCAACGAATATGCTTATTGCTCCTGTCACCTGAGGCAAAACCTCATTTGTCATCCGAGAGTGCCATGTATCATCCTGTGCGGCATGCTTGTCCACTTCTGCGGCATGGATATCCATCTGAGCTTCGCTCCGTGCATTCTCGTTCAGTTCATTCGTGAGCTTCTCATACTCTCTAGCCATGTTCAGACCTTCGCCTCGTACTCGTTGTTCCAAATGCAGGCAGCTGCTAGCGGCTTCACCGCGTAGTTGTCCCAATTGGTTCGACAACGATTCTGCAAATTTCTGATCACGAACATGCTGATTCTGGCGCATCTCTTCAGTCCGCATCAGCGCAACTTCGTATTCGGTCTTTGACCCTTGATGCACATGGTTCATATGCGCCATAGCTGACTGTGGCATGTTGCGTTGGCGTTCCAACTGTTCGAATCTCGTGGTGGGTCCCTGGTCCTCCTGGGTCATCTCCGAAATCTTCTGCATCAAGCCTGTGCAATGGCTTCGTGACGGCGGATTTCCGTTTCATGAAAGCAATGCATCGCCATGATGACGCATTGCATCATCCAAATCCGCATTGGGGCTCATGGAAGGGCTCTACAAACCCGCATCAAGCGATGATTGCACCCTCGCCAATGGCGACGGGAAGGATGCTCAGACCGCAAAGATTTTCTCCAAGAGCTTCTTGAAGATCTTGCCTTTCTGTGCTCTGGCTCTGGACTCCTTGGTTCACGATCTCTCGATTTCAATGTCAGTTGCAAACGTTGAATCACCGTCTTGGACGGTCGTCTCTCGGTTACTCTCGTTCTGGGGCTTGCCGAAGATGGACGTGACTGTGGTCGTCCTCGGCGAGGATCTTGCCTTTCTCGTGGGGTTGTTCGGCGATGATGTTGATGGCTTTGCCTTCTCCTCTTCAGTGGTAGTACTGTCAGCGGACACCGCCACTGTCATCGGCAGTTGACTCTCCAGCAGCCGGCAATGCAATCTCGCCGCCCCCAAACGTCATTGTCGTATCTGCACTTGACCCAGACGTCATCGTCAGTGAGGATGATCAACGACCACTCTCTTGCAGAAGAAACCTACGGCTGATAACCTGCATGAAGGTTTGTTGTTGATGTAGTCTGGGTAGCTCATCTCACAGAGCTTATTGATATTGGTAATGGTCGCCAATTGTTGAAGTAGAGATTCATATCTTCATTGCTCGCTTATTTCCTATTGCAGGCACGCACACACTGGCGCTCTTTTTTTGCACACTGATCTCAGTCCTGGGTCTGTGCAACGGGAATGGCTCAGCCTCTTGGATCGGACGCCTACAACTGAGTCGTAAGCTGTTGGCTACTGGCAGTTACTTGAGCCAAAGATGCGAGTAAGGCGGAGCACTTCAAACTAAGCATACTCTGTACACTCTGCAAGGCACAAGCATGTCTGAGTTGCTTGCTAAGTAGATCACGGTCTGTCATGCAATCCCGTGATCACGTTGAACATGGTTACTCTCATAGCTCTTATCGTGACGCCCACGAATTGCACGAGGCATCGAGGTCTGTGATCAAATTGCTTAAATTGCTTGGAATCCAGCGCCAAAGGTTGAGGGAATCTGGATATTTTCGCACATTTTTAGTATTTGAATAGTTTGATTTGTTTAAACAATGTAACTCATTAAATCCCCTGGCCGATTGAAATATTTCAATGAATTCAATTAATAGAATTGAAGCCAATTCTATTGATTAAATGAATTAAATCCCCCGGCCGGTTTTCATAATTCAATTACTATACTTATTGGAATTAAAGCCAATACTAGCAATTAAATTAATTGAAACAAACAAACTAGTTTACGTAAATAACAATTACCTATGGTTAATAGACCCTAGAGGCTTCCGTCTCATACATACATTTGTATGTATATATATATATGTATATATTTTTTTATTTA